ATATATATATATATATATATATATATATATATATAGATTTGGGATTATGTCAGACCAATGATTTTTTTGTGAGATCCGTAAGACCAATTCTCAACCTTGGACTAGATCTACAATCTGAATATTCATAATCACAAAATTGCCACGAAACTTCTCAATAATCACAAAATTGTTATCGTGCAATTTTAGACCATTAGATCATTAGTTTATAAAGTTGATCAATGAAAATAAATTGGTCTTACGGGTCTCACGAAAAACCCTTGGTCTCACGTGAACTCAACCCTATATATATAGAGAGAGAGAGAGAGAGAGAGAGAGAGAGAGTTTGGTTCAAATACAACTTATCGCATTTGTATAACCAATGCAACCCAATAAATTGAGATATTTATGGAAAATGATGAGAGTTCATTTATTATGATTTGAATATTTATGGAAGATGAATATAGTTCATTAAACATGATCAACATTTTATATTAGGAAACAATCAAAACTTCTATGAAATCACATATTAATCAAATGAAATGGACGGTTGAGATTGGGTTGTATTGGTTGCACATATGTCAAGGGTTGTATAATAACCAGAGAGAGATAGATAGATGAGCGATCAAATAAAAACTATCCTTATTTGTACAAACCGTACAAACCACCCTCATACGTCGATTTCATTGTTTAATCTTATGAAATTTTTTCATGAAATTGTTTCATATAATACTTTTTGATGAAATCGTTTCATATATGGTTATGAAATTGTTTCATATAATATTTAATGAAATTTTAATTAAATTGTTTAATGTATTTCTCTAAAATTAAAATAATGAGAATGATAATATCCATGTTTAACACCCTTCACAATAAAAATGGTTAATCAACCTCTCATAATTACAAAAAAAAAATGAACAAAATGAAAAATTATGATTGGTTGAATGTGGGTTTCACGGTTTGTACAAATTGAGTGGTTTTTATTTGAACGATCATCTCTCTCTCTCTCTCTCTCTCTCTATATATATATATATATATATATATATGGTTTTAGAACACATTCGTCACTTGCAAAGGAGCTAAATGACAAATTAAATCACTTTTCATTGACTTGCGGAGGTGTCATTTACCGCCCCGGGTGAAAAGTGCTCTTTTTTTTTTCAATTTTCACCCACTTGCAGATCTAGCTGAAAAATGTTTTCTTTTTTTTTCTTTTTTTTTTTACTGTCTTTGATGCCATTTGCAAAGATAGTGATATTCTGGAGATCTCTGGAAATGAAAGAAAGGGAAAAGAATCATGTCCTCACCTTCCTCCTGCTTATCACCGACAGTCTGTTACATAGAAAGTTCAATGTGTTCATCGGCATCTGACTCTGAGACGTGGTTTGCTTACTGGTTTCATATAATTCAGAAAACACCAGTTTTCTCAAAGCTTCCTGTTCATATCCCTCAGATGAAACTGGAACAACTTAGCCCCCTTTATTGTACTCCCCAGGCGGGATACTTAGCGCATTAGCTACAACAATGCACGAGTCATTTATTTCATATTGGCATATTGGGTGCGATGAAAGAAATATCAGATTAGTCATTGTGTCAATTTCTACAGTAATAACTATATTTGATTACAATCTGCTCATAGTAAAACTTTATATGGGTTCTCCCATAGTGTGACGGACGGTGTGTACAAGACCCGAAAACGGATTCGTAATTGATAGGTAAATACGTACTTTTATTAAAGAATAATTGTTATAGTTGTTTCCTTTGATTCTCTCGTGTTGAGAATGGAGGTTTTTTAAGAGTGATGGAGTGATCAATCATCATTTCCCTTGTTCAAAATGACTTGTTAATTCCGATGACAGTCAATTCTTTCCGCTTTCCAAGTCAAACAAGTTATGGGAATTGATTCCACAGGATATGTCATTTCAATTCCATCGGATTATATCAGAATCTTTTGAGCCAAACTCTAATTGGAAGGTGGGTTGATTACGATCACTAAATGGCATACAATTAAATGAAACGATGAGTTCGAGTGCTATCCCACTAGCTGATATCAATTTCCGTGGTCAGTCGTCTTTATCTTCCATATGGAGCAACTGTGTCCAGTTCAAGCAGTGCGATGATGGAATCAAGCATCATAGACTTAGGGGACGTTTGACAGTTGCTGAATGGTTTGCTGCAGAATAATGGGTTGTTTGACAATTGCTGAATAGTTTAGTGCATAATGAATAAGAGGTTCTCATGATATTGTGCAAATTGTTTGGTAATTGTGTACAATGAAATTAGGGCTCTTAATGGTTAAGGGAGATTCATGATACAAAATCATTCAGAGGGTTTTAGAACCATTAAGAGGCGGACTTTTTTTTTTTGCCAAACAAGATTCACCTCTTAACGATTCAGATGTTGTCTCTTACTGAAACTATTAGAGGTAAACAAAGTGGTCAAAATGATTAAGAGGCTCTCATGATATAGTGCAAAATGAAATATAATTATTTGGTAATTATTTACAATGAAATTAGGGCGCTGAATGGTTAAGAGATGCTCCAGATACAAAATCATTCAGAGAGTTTTAGAACCATTAAGAGACAGACTTTTATTTTGCAAACAAAATTCACCTCTTAACGATTCAGAGACTGCCTCTTAATGGAACTATTAAGAGGTAAACAAACAACCCCTTGGACGATTAAAAGTTAGATATCACAATTATTTAAAAGGGTATTTTTATAATTTTGTTGGTGCACCCGTTATCACCTCGTGTTGCATCTCATTTGTTTCGATAATTTAATCAGCTGTCTCTTTAATACCAATATGCTTATTTCGTATTGTGGATTCTAAATTGGGAAGTTCTCTATAGATGAATATTAGAAGCTCAGATGGGAAGCTTGCCAAAAATAGATGAGGTGAAAAAGCTTTCCTTTGAAAAATCTCGAGGATCACTTCGTGCTTTATGTGAACAAGTCAAAGTTATAATCGTTTTCATTTATGCAAACGAGTTGCATAATTACAAAGCGTTTGAACACGTTTTTTTCCTGATATAGTTGTGAATTTGTGGACGACAAATTGTTGCTTTTTGTGAAACTTTCTTTTGGCAGTTTATGCTCGTTTATTTCGTGAGCTATATAAATAATCAGTAATGTTTTGCACGACTCAACTCATTCTTCGAGCCCTTCTTCCCTTTTCCCCTCTCTGTTGTCGAGACAACGATGATAATCATTGGAGTAAGTGATTTCGACGTCTTAAACTACATTATGTATTACGAGTTGTTTTTTCATTAGTATTTTTGAAAATGTAAGGGGCCGTTTACCAAACGCTTACCAGGGTAAGCGCTTACCAAGTCACGTTACCTTACCGGATGAATATGGTAAAGACCAAGAACCTTATCTGGTAAGAGGGAGACAAGAACCGAGAGTCTTACCCGGTAAGTGATGGCGACAACTTTTACCATGGTAAACGCTTACTGAGTAAATTGTTGCATACGATATGGTTTTGGTGGACTAAAGTCTTATCCGGTAAGTAAGTGGTATTGTTAAATTTTACCGTTAAGCACTTATCAGATAAGTGTTTGATAAACGGCCCCTGAAACAGACAATAATTGTAAAAAATTTGTTAAAATTCAACGACTCTAAATTGTCCAATAATTTTCAAAATACGAACGAAACATAAGAAAATGTACAGTTATTCATCAAAATAGCAGTTATTAATCATTATTCAAGATTATTGAAAAATAGAAAATATCGTTACCACTTACCAGTGTGAGACACTATCTTCATTTACCATATCGGGTAATATTATCGATCATCTGAATGGACCGTTGGTAAGTATCTGTTACCCGATATGTGTTAACTAGATGAGATTCTTGACAGATAACTTGCACACCAAGGCAAGTGACACATGGTAAAAACCCTTACCCTGTAAGCATTTTGTAAACGGTCCCCAAGTATATAAAAATAAGTATTTTTTCTGACAATTTTTTTATTGTTATACATAGCTGGAAATACAGTTGTTAAAATCAATCAGTATAATATAATTTAATGATTATTAAATATAAAAATAAGGGACTGTTTACTTTAACGTTTACCCGCTGAACGTTTACCGGTAAGATTTAACACTCTCATTTATCTTACTGTGTATGATTATAGTACATCAAAACGAAATCGTATGCAATAATTTACCCGGTACATTAACCAGATATTCACATATAAACATTTATTCTTACTTCTTTAATACCTTTTCCTTTTTTAACCACTCTGTATTCAAATATACATTTTAGACATGGACATATCCACCAGAAAAAGGGTGTGGCGGTTTATGCAATCATTGATATTGTTTGTGACGGATTTCACCACTGTGATTTATTTGGTCTTATCATTGAAAATCGTTGTCAAAAATTTAAGATGCTATGACTAAGGTGTTCATGGGTTGGGTTGAAGGTATTTGAACAACGCAATCCAATATTTGCATTTTGAAAAAAATCTTAACTCAACCTAAACTAAAGTGCAACCCAACCCAACCCAAACCGTACAGATTGGTCAGATTAGTCGGATTGGTCGGGTTGATACTTTGGTGCATTAAAATATTCTTCTAACTTGAATATGTTATTTCTCTACTCGTAATTTCTTTTTCATCATCAACTATTTGATACAAATTATCC